AGCCATGTACTATAAGGGGTACATTCCTTTTTTTGCAGCAAAATCCAACCGTGCGACTCCGAACAGTTACGAAACTATTCCTGCCAAAAACCTCGCTCTTGCAGCTACTTGATGCTTCTGCTCCAGCATTCCATATGCTGCCTAGCCGTACGCGACTCTTCGTGCTACATCGACCTTTCACCTTCGTATTAGCTTCTGCATGCCTCGTTCTTGCTACTGGCAGAAATGCACAGTAGTTTTTTTTTTTTCTCTCATTTCACCATTCGTAAAACCCCCCTTCATTCCTCACGGTAGCAAGTCTTTACTCGCTTGACCACTCCGGTGAGTTCGATGTAGTGCTGCTACTACCGACGGGGCAGTCGCTTCATGAGGAAGTCGGTTGCCATGTCACCCGTTGGGCAATAGGCCAGAACGACCTTGCCCTTGTCCACTTCGTCCTTGATGAAGAAACACTGCTGCGCAAATATTTTTAGTGCGGTTGATTAATCCCGCCTCCCCTCTAGTTGTCACAGCGCAGGCGAAAGGCGGGCGAGGTTGGAATTTTCGCCTCTTGCAGGAGTTTCTGCATGTAGAGTCATTCGCGAACTGCTGCTGTCGCGGTTATGACACGACAACCAGTTCCTGCTTCTGCGAATTCTAGGAGATGGGCCCTGTTGGCTCGAGGCAAACAGGAACCATGTTTTGGACCGTCGATTGTCAGGATCAGCAAATTGATCGGCGTCCATGTAGCCAATGAGATTGAAGGATGGGGTCGTAACTGTGGAGTAGCAGAGCCGAATCTTGGGCGTGGAGATGAATGATTGAAGTGTGCGTTGAAGATCTAGGAGATTCTCAGCCGTTGGTTTGTGGGAGTACTGAGCCAGCTAGCTCGCGATATACGAGAGGTCTGGCTTGTAGGTCACTAAGGCAAAGTGCAGGCATCCAAGCTGCTGCTATAAGTCTGAAGCCCAGCGGGGGATATGGCTTTGTTGTCAGGTTTTTTATTTGGTCCAGGGGTGAAGTAAGGGGTGGAGATCGGCGCGGGCGAAATGTTGAAGCGTATGCCAAGTGTTTCGGCATACTTAGGAGCCGAGAGGTGAATGACTTTTGGCGCGTAGGATATATTAAGGGCCAGGAACTGCTTCACCTCATAATTGGTGGTGATGTCGACGCATGACGCCAGGTTCCTTTCAAACTGGTAGAGCAGCATGTTGCTTGGTCATGTATAGAGCAGGTCGTCGACATACACGGTGAGCAGTATGTAATCGCCGCAAAAATGCAGGCGATACTGTCAGAATCCCAACCACTAACCACTGGTATAAAAGGGCTTGTTTCAGTAGCGGGTTTGTGCACCCATAACCCCCCAGGCGAACGCGCCTGTAGCCCCCCCTATGATCAATCGGGCATCCACAGTGCAGATCTACTGACACCCCCCCACACTGGGAGGCCCAGGACTGAGCACAGTGGCAACGGCCTACATGTGCATACACCGGGATTCGAACCCGAGACCTCTCTGATACCATGTCGAACCCAACCACTAACCACTGCGATAAAGGGGCTTGTTACAGTAGCGGGTTTGTGCGCCCATTAACCCCCTCAGGCGAACGCGCCTGCAGCCCCCCCTAGGATCAATCGGGCATCCACAGTGCAGATGTACTGATAGATACATGCTTGGGTCGTGCCGCAGCTGCGAGAATCATCTCAAGTAGGATTTTGTGCAGGTGCTCCCGCTAGAGGCGTGGCACTTGCTTTATCCTGTACAACGACTTCTTTAGCTGGCAGACTTGTGAATCCCCTTCGCCGTAAGTCTACGGCTACTCCACGGAAATCATAGCATCAACTAGCGCATAGAAAAATGTGTTCCTCGCGTCGATCTGATGGAGGGGTAAGTGCCTCGCAGCAGCAATGGCGAGCAAGATTGTGAACGGAGGTGTGGCGATTAACCGGAGCGAAGGTTTGGTCGAAGTCAATGCCAGGCCTTTTATCGTAGCCGCGCACTACCCGGCGCGCCTTAAAGCGCTCGATCATGCCATCTGTTGCAGTCCTCACGCGGAATACCTATTTTCCCGAACGCACCAGCCTTACTTTTATTGATGCGCGGTCGATCAGCGCTCAAGTGCCGCACGACTCTAGGGCCTTGATTTCATCGTCCATGCTTCGTGCCACTCCTTGATGTGGGGACCTGTAAGCGTCTGTCGCGGGTTCCTAGATTCGATGACGCGCAGGGCTGTGGAGGTGGCGGTGTGAAGGCCTAGCAGTTGCAGCCCTGAGACGGAGCTGTCGTGACGGTGCTGGGGAATCACCTCCTGCACCTCGTCATCGTCACTCTCGGGTTCAGGCGGTGGTGGTGGTGCTAGGACTCTCCTGCTTCCTCCTGCTCTCCCGGCTCCTCCTGTCAAATCTCATATCTGCTACAGTTTGTTTAGGCTGTAGTGGGGTAGTTACTATGGGGTACAGTAAGTTTAGGGCTTCCTACTTGTACCCAACTCTTTCCTAGTTCAATCACTCTTGTTCATTCTGACATGGTATCACGAGCCTAGGTTAGCCACCTAGGACCGCTTACTACTACGGGCCCACTATTCCGCTAGAAGTGCCCTCGTGCGCCCTACCTTACGTGCGCCCTCGTGCGCCTTTCACTGCTCGTGCGCCCTCGTGCGCCTTTTTCTGCTAGTGCGCCCTCGCGCGCCCCGCCCTTCGTTCTGCCCGCGCGCCGTCCTGCCCGTACACGCGTGGCCCGCTAGCCACCAGCCCACCGCCTGATCGACGCCCGCGCGCAGCCCGCTAGCCGCCCACGCAGTTCGTACCGGCCTCGCGCGGCCCCTCGAGCCGCTCGCGACCTGCCTGCACGTAGGCCGCCGCCTGTAGGCTGCCCGTCGCCCGCCGTCGCCCCAAGGCCGCCGCCGCCTGTAGGCCGCCCGTACGCCGCCTGTAGGCCGCCCTTACGCAGCCCGTAGGCCGCCCGCACGCTGCCCGTAGGCCGCCGCCGCCCGTAGGCCAACGCCCGCGCGCAGGCCGTAACCCGCGCGCCGCGGCTGCCGCACGCCGACGGCTGCAGCCCGCTGGGACCCACGCGTCCCCCCCCCTTTGCCCCCGTTGCTCGTCGCGGCGCCTTCAGGGGGCCCGCCTGCTGCTCCCCCCGTCGCCCGTCGCGGCGCCTTCAGGAGGCCCGCCCGCTGCTCCCCCCCCCCCCCCCCGGTCGCCAACCCTGCAGCAGCGCGTGACCCGCCCGTGCAGCAGCTCGCGACGCCGTCCCAGCAGCAGCGCGCGACCCGCCCTGCAGCAGCGCGCGAGCCGCCCCTGCACTAGCAGCAGCTCGTGACGCCGCCCCTGCAGCAGCGCGCGACCCGCCCCTGCAGCAGCGCGCGAGCCGCCCCTGCACCAGCAGCAGCTCGCGACGCCGCCTCTGCAGCAGCGCGCAACCCGCCCCTGCAGCAGCGCGCGACCCGCCCCTGCACCAGCAGCAGCCGCCCCTGGCCCCTGGAGCAGCCGCCCCTGCAGCAGCCGCCCCTGCAGCAGCCGCCCCTGGCCCCTAGAGCAGCCGCCCCTGGAGCAGCCGCCCCTGCAGCAGCTGCCCCTGGCCCCTGGAGCAGCCGCCCCTGGCCCCTGGAGCAGCCGCACCTGCAGCCGCCCCAGGCCCCTGGAGCAGCCGCCCCTGCAGCAGCCGCCCCTAGCCGCAGTCGTCGCCCCGCCCTGCAGCAGCTGCTGCGGAGCTCCCTGCCGCGGTCGCGACCCCGCCCTGCCGCTGTAGCAGCCCCGCAGTCGCCTCCGTCGTGCGCCTGCCCTTCCCACCACTGGTGAGCACTGCCCTGCCCGCGCTGCTACCGCTACTACTGCTACTACTGCTGTTACTGCTGCTGCTACTGCTCCTGCTGCTACTGCTTCTACTTCTGCTCCTGGCGTGGCCAGATGCAGCTCCAGGGCCGTCCGCGTGTGTCCCTCACGCCCCAGCAGCTTCGTGAGTGGTACGCCAGTTGGGGTTGTCGGGGTGGCAGTAGTGGGAGTCGTCCTTGAGTGGGTAGTTCGAGAGCTTCTTGTCGTGGCCCGGTGCAGCAGCAGCGTCGTCCGCGCGAGACTCGTTCGCCCCAGCAGCTTCGTGAGTGGTACGCTCAGAGTAGAGGGTCACTGGGTACTGCTCGCTGCCCGTACATTATTAGCACGGGTGTCCAGACTGGTCAGCCTTGCGGGACGCCTGGTCACACAGAGTCTCGCTGCTTCGCCCGTCTGAGCGACGCTTGGCGTACAGAGTTTGGCGACGACGCTGAGCTCCCCGACTGGGTGGAGCTGCTTAGGCAGAGGGTAGATGTCTTTGCTCTTGACTATGATGCTATTCTCACTGCAATGTATGCATTGTCTACTAGTGCCGAGGGAGCCTGTCACCTGTGTGTGCCGCCTAACCCCGGTATCCAGTCTACTGCTCCAGGTGCCGGTGAGGCTGCTGCTCTAGGTGCTCGTGCGTCTCCTGCTCCAGGTGCTGGTGAGGCTGCTGCTCTAGGCGCTCGTGCGTCTGCTGCTTCAGGTGCTTGTGAGTCTGCGCCTTCAGGTACTGCATCTACTGAGGCACTGCACACCTTCACACTGGACTCAGGTGCTTCCCGCTGTTTCTTTCGCGACCGCACTGCCCTAGACCGGTTGCTATCTCCCTGGCTGACCCCTCGGGGGGTCCGGTCCTTGCGACCTCCACCACTGCCCTCCCTTGTCCTGCTGTCCCGTCCGGCACACTGACGGGACTTTACCTCCCCTCGTTCTCTACAAACTTGGTGGCGGGTTCCGCGCTCCAGGATGCGGGTGTTCACCAGTTCACCCCTGCCTACGAGCGTGTGACACACTGCACGTGTGCCCAGACGGGTCGTCACCTGGCTACCTTCACTCGGCAGCCGGGGTCAAACTTGTACACACTGACCACTGAGTCCCCTCAGGTAGCGGCGTCTGCGTCTGCGTCAGGTCAGTTGTCCGCCCCCTGCTCGTGTCGCACCCTGTCGCACCGGACGGTCCTCTGGCACCACCGCCTTGGGCACCTTTCGATGCAGCGCCTTCGTGGCATGCACTCTCGTTTCCTTGTCTCTGGTCTCCCCAGGTCACTGCCTCCCCTGCCACCGTCCCCTGCCCCTCCTTGCCTTCCCTGTGTCGAGGGGCGGCAGCGTGCCACCCCTCACTCCTCTGCGTTCCCCCCGACGGAGGCTCCTCTGCAGACCCTTCACATGGACGTGTGGGGCCCAGCCCGCGTTCGTGGATAGGGCGGAGAGCACTACTTCTTGCTGGTAGTTGACGACTACACGCGTTACACCACGGTCTTCCCCTTGCGCGCCAAGGGAGAGGTCCCTGCTGTCTTGATCCCTTGGATCCGCGCTACCCGTCTCCAGCTGGAGAGGCGCTTTTGCACGGACCTTCCCGTTCTGCGACTGCACTCTGACAGAGGTGGTGAGTTTTCCTCCGGCCTCTTGGAGGCCTTTTGTCAGGAGGAGGGCATTGAGCAAACATTCACGCTTCCGGCCTCTCCTCAGCAGAATGGGGTTGCTGAGCGCCGCATTGGCTTGGTCATGGAGGTCGCTCGTACCTCCTTGGTCCATGCGGCTGCCCCCCATTTTCTGTGGCCGTTTGCGGTCCGGTACGCCGCGCATTAGCTCAACCTCTGGCCCCGTGTCTCCGCTCCGGAGACTTTGCCGACACTGCGTTGGACGGGAGAGGTTGGCGATGCGTCTGTGTTCCGTGTCTGGGGATCTCGTGCCTTTGTCCGCGATACGTCCGCGGACAAGCTCTCCTCCCGCGCCGTTCCTTGTGTCTTCCTGGGCTTTGTCCCTGACGCGCCTGGCTGGCAGTTTTACCGCCCCACCTCGCGCCGTGTCTTCCCCTCTCAGGACGTCACGTTTGACGAGTCGGTCCCCTTTTACCGTCTCTTCCCCTACCGCACTGCCCCGCTCCCCCCTCCGCCGCTCTTCCTCACGCTAGGTGCTGCTTCGATAGACCCTCTGCCTCCCCAGGGTCCTGCTCCCTCAGGTGTTTCCCAGGTAGACCCGGTCGAGCCTGCCAAGGTAGCTGTCGACTCTGGTCCTGCGCGAGGTACTGAGCGTGCTGAGCCTGGTGGTGCTGAGCCTAGGGGTGCGGAGACTGGGGGTACTGAGCCTGGGGGTGCGGGGACTGGGGGTGCTGAGCCTGGGGGTGCGGAGACTGAGGGTACTGAGCCTGGGGGTGCGGAGACTACGGGTGCTGAGCCTGGGGGTGCTGTGCCTGGGGGTGCTGAGCCTGGGGGTGCTGTGCCTGGGGGTGCTGAGCCTGGAGGTCCTGAGCCTGGGGGTGCTGCGCCTGGGGGCGCTCTCTCTTCCCAGCAGCTGCGTGAGTGGTACTCTCGGTACTGTCGCCGCCGCCGTGGTGCTGTGGGCGCTGGAGGTGCTACTGGAGCTGGACCTGAGGGCGCTGGGCCTACTGGAGTTGGTGTAGCTGCTGACCCTGGAGTTGGCGCTGGAGATGCTGGAGCCACTGGTCCTGGAGGTGCTCGTACTGGCGATACTGGAGCTGCTGGGACTGTAGGTGCTACTGGAGCTGCTGGAGGTGTTACTGGTATTGGGGCTGGTGGTGCTGCAGGGGCTGGAGCTGGAGGTGCTGACGCTCGTCCTCCTGCAGGTGCTAGAGCCGACGGTGCGGCTGGAGCTGGTGCTACTGGGGGTACTGGAGTTGGCACTACTGGAGCTGCTGGTGGTACTGCAGGAGTTGGAGTTGCTGCTGGGGGTTCTGGTGTTGTCTCTGCTGTTTCTGGGAGCACTTCACGGCCGCGGCTGTACTTCGTTCCGCTCCTTCAGCAAGTTCTTGGTCAGCCGCCTCCTCCTTGTCCTGCTCCCTCCTTAGAGTGTCCTCCGCCTGTCCAGTCGTAGTTACAGTTACAGCCTGCCTCGCCACTTCCTAGTCCTTCTCCCTACGCTGGTCCGACAGGAGGTCTTACGGAGCGTCCTGAGCCTGAGTCTCGTCCTGTGTCGCCTGAGTCTCGTTCTGCGTCACCTGTTCGTGCTGCTCGCACTGGTCGTCGTGTCCCGCGTCAGCGTCCTCCTGCTGTCCCAGGCACTCACTAGATGACGCTTTGTCTTTCCACTGCTCCACAGCGTGTCCCTCTGCCTTCTCCTCCTACGTCCTCTCTTCCTGCCCTTGCTGACCCGGAGTCTGACTCTCTTCGTGCTGCTAGTCCTACTGTCACGCGTCTCCTGGCCACTGCTGCCACTGACCCTTCCTTTGAGTCAGCTGCTGCATCTGCCTTAGTTGCTGAGCTTGTCGACTTTGCTGCTCACTATCGTCTAGACTACGCTGCCAGTCTTGTTGCTGAGTCTGAGTCTGTCTGTCCTCCGTCCGTCGGGGATGAGTGTGCTCTTGGCACGGACGTCCTTGAGGACAGGCAGGAGGAGTTTGAGTGCTTTGCCGCTGCTGTACCTCATCTCGTGTCCATGCTGATTGCACCTGAGGGAGACCCGGATGCACCAGACATCCCGACCCCGCGCTCCTACGCTGAGGCGATCGCGGGTGAGTACTCCTCTCAGTGGCAGTCAGCCATGGACGCAGAGATGGCATCCTGGAAGTCCACTGGCACTTACGTCAACGAGGTTCCCCCTCCTGGGGCGAACATCGTCAGTGGCATGTGGATTTTCAGGGTGAAGCGGCCGCCAGGTTCTCCGCCTGTCTTCAAGGCTCGTTACGTTGCTCGAGGCTTCAGTCAGCGAGAGGGAGTAGACTTCTTCCAGACCTTCTCCCCCACCCCGAAGATGACCACTCTTCGGGTGCTACTGCACGTTGCCGCTCAGCGTGACTACGAGCTTCACTCTCTTGACTTCAGCACAGCTTTCTTGCAGGGCAGCCTGCACGAGGAGATCTGGCTGCGCCGCCCTCCTGGCTTCACTGGGTCGTTCCCTCCTGGTACCCAGTGGAGCCTCCGGCGGCCGGTCTACGGTCTCCACCAGGCGCCACGTGAGTGGCACGACACACTGAGGACTACACTTGCGGCTCTTGGGTTCGCGCCTTCTACTGCCGACCCGTCGCTGTTTCTGCGCACCGACACTTCACTGCCGCCGTTCTACATCCTCGTGTACGTCGACGACTTGGTCTTTGCCACTGCTGACACTGAGGCTCTCGCCCTGGTGAAGTCGGAGCTGCAGAAGAGACACCCGGGACAGAGCACGCCGCACCATCACACTGACTCAGTCGCACATGGTGCAGCAGGTGCTTCAGCGCTTCGGCTTCACCTGGTCCTCAGCACAGGCCACTCCTCTGGCTACAGGTCACTCGCTCTCAGCTCCACCTTCGGACAAGTCCGTAGAGCCGAGTGGTCCTTACCCAGAGCTAGTTGGCTGCCTCATGTACCTGATGACTTGCACTCGTCCTGACCTCGAGTACCCTCTTGGCCTTGTGGCTCGCTACGTGGCTCCTGGTCGGCACCGAAAGGTGCACATGGATGCTGCTAAGAGGGTACTGTGCTACTTGTGCAGTACATCAGGCATGGGGCTCGTGCTTGGAGGGAGGAGCTCAGTTGTTCTCACTGGGCACTCAGACGCTTCTTGGGTTGACGACCAGGCTACTCAGCGGTCGTCACAGGGTTACACCTTCAGCCTTGGCTCTGGTTCAGTTTTTTGGCGTTCTACACGCTCGTCTTCAGTTCTCAGCTCCAGTTGTGAGGCTGAGATCTACGCCACAGCCATGGCTGCACAGGAGTTACGCTGGCTCACCTACCTGCTGACTGACTTGGGAGAGCGGCCTTGTTCTCCTCCAGTGCTGTACGTCGACAACAAGGCTACCATTGCCTTGTGTGAGGAGCACAGACTGGAGCACAGAATGAAGCACATCGCTCTGCGTTACTTCCTGGCTCGAGAGTTGCAACAGCGTGGTCAGCTTCGTCTGCGTTACGTGGCCACTCGGGCCAACACTGCTGATATATTCACCAAGGCACTTCAGTCTGGTGATCATCAGCGTTTCTGCACTATGCTAGGGCTTGTTCCCACTTTTCCTCACTTGCTGTAGGCTTTGCTTGTACTGTGCTCTATATATATGCATGCATGCTTGCTTTGCTAGGTAGAGATCACTGTGATGTTTGTGTTGCATATATGCCTCTGCATGTGAACTGGCCTTGTGGCCCTTTGCTTGCGCTCAGTGTGTGTGGTGACGTTGTGATCCACCCTGAGCTTGCTTTGCCTTTCTTGACTGGTCTTGTGACCCCTTGCTCTCCCCCACTTTGCCTATGGGGGTGTGTTAAATGTCATATCTGCTACAGTTTGTTTAGGCTGTAGTGGGGTAGTTACTATGGGGTGTAGTAAGTTTAGGGTTTCCTACTTGTACCCAACTCTTTCCTAGTTCAACCACTCTTGTTCATTCTGACAACGCAGTGGCCAACAACAAGAAAGGCGGTGTACACGTTGTGCATCTTGGGGTAACGGTTAGTGTCTGGTTCCAGCAGCCCAACCATTAGACCATTGGGATAAAAGGGCTTGTTAAGTAGCGGGTCAGTGCGCCCATAACCCCCAGGACAACGAGCCTGTTACCCTTCCCTAGGATCAATCAGGGATCACCAGTGGACCTCTGACAGCTTCTTCTGCTTCTTCGTTCGCCGTCATCAGGATAAATGCCACAGGGAATGTTAGTCCCTATGATCATTCCGGGGACGAGAGTGGGGTTGCGCAGCTCGGGATCAGATCCGTTGACTGCGCGATGTGGGGTTGAGGGCTCGTTTCTCCAGTAGATTGTGTCCTCATGATCGCGATGCAGTGGGATGTCGGCAAGAGGAGGCGCAGGTGCAGGGAGGTGCGGAGGGCGACCGAGAGGAACAACAGAAGGTTCGGTCTCTTCTTGTGTTCTCCCGTTTGTTCTTCTTGTTCGATTCCCCAGCCTTCATAAGAGGTGCCCCATCCGCTGTTGGTGCCGCTAGTAGTGCCCCAGCCTCCGCTGGTGTCGGCCCAAGTACCTCCTGTGGTGCCCCAGGTACTGCCGCTGGTTCCCCAACCGTCATTGCTACCCCACCCCCCTTCATTGGAGGCGCTTTCTTATTTTGCACCCCAAGCACTGCACGCGAAAGTCCTGCGCGCCTCGGCGATACTCTTTTGGCAAAGCTCTTTTGACGAAGCTCTTCTGCTTCACGTTGCGCCGGTTCCTGTTCTTGTGCGATTGTCAGCTTTTGTTGGGGTCGCGCCAGTGGGGGTAGAGTGTAACGAACTGTTCATTTGTGTAGGGGCGCGCTTTTCCACGCGCATCGAAGGTTCCGTGGCTGTTTCATGGCTGTGCCAAGAAGGGGATCTTCTGGCGAGCCGAAGACGAAGCGCGTCGTGACTTGTAGCCAGCACTGTCATTCATCCGTCCGGCAGGAGATATCATTCTGCTTCAGCAAGGGCGGCAAGTCCGCGACCAGCGATTATGTTTGTTGATGTTGTCAGTCTGTGGCAGTCCCCGCAGATGCGGTCAAGGTCAGGGTCGTGCAGTGCAACTTTGCGCGGATGTGGGTGGTGTGGCACCCAGGGTCTCCCGTATAGGCGCTTCGATGGAGCAGTGGATGTGCTCGAAGCAAAGCGGTACGAGATCGATCAGCTCGTCCGTGTTGCCACTGCAGTCAGGAATGCCAAAATCGAGCACGTAAACGCCATTCTCGGCATGTGCTCGTCCGACTTGCTTACGCGGCTCGTTGGGTGTTGTGTAGTGCAGATGGTCTCGCGCGACCCAGGGTCGGTGCTCAAATGTACCGCGCAATCCATGAGTTGCGCCGCCGAGAGAAGGTTGAACCGCAGGTTCTGCACAATTAACACATCATTCAGTGTGATGTGTGTCTTGCTCCCACGCGCCTTGAGTACCATGATGCCTTGTGCGCTTGCGCATAGGCGAGTGCTATTCTCCACGGTGATGTAGGTAACCATGGGGTTCGAAACAGCATTGAATATAAAACGCTTGTAGCCGGCCATGTGCTGCCCACAACAGCTGCCAAGGTATTAAGTGTTGTACCTTTTGTTTTCGTCGCGCGCGAGCAGCGCTAAACGCAGTGAGACGATGTGCGAAGTATCAAATTTCAGAAATTGCTCACGTGATGTCAAGTCAACATCATGTAAATGCGGGGGGCTTTCAAGCAGCGGGATTGGAAGGTTCCAATCCTGGTCATCGTCGTCGCTAAAGTCGTGGCCAGGCGTGAACGGATTGTTGTCCGTGAAGGCACCAATCTGATGAGGCGCAGGCTCTGGCAGCGGCGTGCGGACGCGGCGTCGACGAGTTCCGCGCGTGTGCGACATCGCCATGTTGCTGATGACGTCTTTCACGGGTCCATGTTACGAAGGCTACTGTTGCTAGTGCTGAACCGTTGGGTTCAGATTGCGCGAAGGGGCTTGACACCCCTGGGCTTGACATGCTTGGTTCCTTGCGTCTTGTCGGCCAGCCCAAGTGCTCGGATTGGACTGGCGAGTGGCGGAGTGGAATTTGCATTGCTCGGCCAAGTGCCCGAAGTTTATGCGAATTTTCTTGTATGGTGACGCGATCAACGTTCTTATTTGTTGTCGGTGTAGAACGCGATTCGTTCCTGATCTCGTCGCAGCGTTGGTCGCATATCCCTTTGTTCGACGAGAAGGGCAGCGCATACGCGGCTTCCGAGACAGCCCCCTGTTGCCGGAGAAGCGCATCGCAGGGTCGCCATTATGGGCCAGCCCTGCGAGCAAGATATTCACGAAAATCTCCTCTAAAATCGAGCTCCCAAGTTTCGCGATTTGATCGCATTAGCTCCGGCATGATTGATGTAGCTTCTCGCCTTCTCCCTTGGTGCCATTTTTGTCTCCAGTATCTGCTGGAGAAGGTGGCTTGAGGACACTAAGTCCTTGGGTTGATATACCCCAATAAGGTGACGCAATGCTTCAAGTGTTGGCGCAGTTGTGGTTTTGTATGAACGGATTACTAGCTGCTCCCCCGGCGTCAAGTTGCGGGGAAGCACGCCGTAAGTCATGAGCGATTCACTGTAATATTCGACTTTGACGCCGTTGGCGTCGGCCGTGGGTCCTGCGTAGCTCCCGTCAAAAGAATTTAAGTTCCGCTCGTTCTGCAGCTTGAAGCTTTAGTTATAAAAATCATAGTCGTTAAAGCAGATATTTGTCATCATTTTTTATATGTTAAAAACCCTTGATTGAGCTGAGAGCGTTCACGGGTTGGGAAGATGTTCCCGCGACGCTCTTCCGCAATGTCTGGAGCCCTTGCTCCAAAGTTGAGAGTCGTTGAAGCAATTTTTTGAGTGTGGCAATGCTTATCGTTGTAGCCGCCTCGCTTGTCGTTGCAGGGTTTGGTTGCGCTTCAGCGGTCAGATTTGTCTGACTATCAGATCCTCTGGCCATCTTTACACACGAGCGTATGCCGGACGCTCTCATACCATGTTGCGATCAGTTGATTGATCGTCCCTAGGATCACCTCAGGAAGGTTCGCAGAAACAAAGTGTTGCAGCAGAAGAGATCGACCTCAAAATGGATGCGATGATAAAAACATGCAAAATACAAAAGTTTATATGAGTGCAAGGCATGGACTAGCCATATACTCTAAGGTGTACACTCCTTTATTTACGTAAATGTTGTTACGAAGTGAAAAATGAATGAACTATTGTGCACTCCTTACCGCAACAAGCGAAGCAGGCACTACCGAGGTTGAAGACGAGAAGGCTGAAAATTACGCGAAGGGTCATACGGTTACGAAAGCATCTAGACCGTCGGGCAGACAACATCAAGCAGCAGCAGTGACGAGGATTTTGCCCGAATAGTTTCGTAACTGTCTGGAGTCGCACGGTTAAGTTTCGCTGTAATAAGAGAATGTACCCATTATAGTACATGGCTAGCTAGGTCGTTTCATATTCCCCTGTACTCTTACTTATAGTGTTGTATTTGCATGTTTTTCTCATCTCAAGCATTTTACATTCACGCTGCTATTGAGGTCAAGGGCCCACCACCACTAAACCAGTAGTGTGCGAACCTTCCCGAGGTGATCTTAGGCAAGATCAAATTTTTATCGCAACATGGTATGAGAGCGACTCCGGAATCCTTCGCACTGCCACCTCCAAAAACTTTGGCGAACGAAAAGTGGAGTACGGCACATGCTCGCGTGTAAGAATAGCCGGATGATCTGATGGTCAGACGAATCTGACGGCTGAAGCGCAGCCCAACCCGGCTGCGACAAGCGAGGAAAGGACAACGATTCCTTCCGCCGTTCTCGCACAACTACTTCAGCGACTCACCAGCTTGGAGCAAGGGCTCCAAACATTGCGGAATGGCGACGTGGGAACTTTATTCCCAACCTTCTCAACCGGCCTCGAACGGCCAAAATTCCGCCCCGCACACTTTCTCCCTTGACACAAATGGCTCAACACCCAAGACTCCCCGTCCCAGCGAAGAAGCAATTCTCTCTACGCAATCAAGGTTTTTGAGCATATCAAAAATAAAAACAAGTGTGTGTTTTGACGGCAGAGACTTCTATACTTGGAAATTCGGGTTGGAGCTGCTGCTGCAAAATGCACAGATTTTTCATTATTTCGACGAGAGCTACTCGGGATCTACTGAAGACACCGACGACGCTAGGGCAAAGTGCTTCAATAAGTCCCTGATGGCGTATGGCGTCTTACTGCGCAACATGTCGCCGGCGGAGCAGATGAACATTCGATCGTACAAGACAACACCTGCCCCGGCTCTCGACGCGTGGCGCCACCTAAACGGAGTCTATCAACCAATGGACTCGGCTTCTTCGAGTCCGCCTGCTTCAGCAGCTACTAGAGACGAAGATAGCAATTGGGGAGAAAGTCAACAGCTACATCAATTGTTGTCGGAGCCTCCGCGATCAAATCGCGAAGTTGGGAAGCAACATTTCCGAAGAAATCTTCATGAATATCATGCTTCAGGGGCTCGGCCCAGAGTGGCGGCCCTGCAATGCGCTTCTCCGACAGCAAGGGGTCATCTCGGAGGCCGCCCTGTGCACCGCCCTCCTCGTGGAACAACGGGATATGGACCAGCAGCGACCAGCGCCGCGACAAGAGAGAGTATGTCTCGCCTTCTACGCCGACAACACAGAAGAGCGACGGCCGCGGTGCCTTTACTGCAAGCTTTGCAGAAATTTCGGGCATCAGCCACGAGTACAAGGCGTGGCTCATCTTGGACCTCTTGAGCCAGAAGATAAAAAACGTGCGCGACGTCATTTTCTAGGAGCGCCTCTTCTCCAGGAGTTCTGCGAAGATGAGCAGACGAGCGCGAACCGCGTTTACGCCAATGACGGGCACAGCTACGCCACGCC